AAATATCTGAGAACATTTCTGATTTTGGCATTTAAATTGCACTTGTTGGCCTGTTAAATTACATTCAGCTGCCAGCCCCAATAAACTGCAAGAACAAATACAACAGTATACATAGCCTTTGTCCCCTTTCAAAGGGACAAAGAGATGTAGACCACAACACACTTGTCTCATGGAAAGTCTCTTCCTGGTTTTACTTACTCATCTAACTGGGTTTTTCCCAGTTCTTGGTAGAATCCTCAGCATTTTCTGCACATGTTCATGTTCATTATAAACATAAACATCTAGTCCTATAGCACCCTAAGAAGGGCTGGCAGTGACAGACAGCTTCAGCTTTGCTCATGTACAAAATTTAATTGAAATAGCTTATGAAACTGTCCTCATCAGTCGCTCATTTCCCCTGCCCTACACAATTGTGTCGGTGGAAAGATGTTTTCAAGGTACTAACCTCAGAGAAACAGAAAGGATTCTCTCTACTTCCATCCTCCGCTTTATGACTTCCTTTACTTGGCCTTTCTCAGGACCCTGCTTTATCTTTTCACGCCCAATCAGGTATATGCACTTTGGAGTAAGGACAAGATCTCGTTTCACACCCTGAAATACAAAATCATTTGAAGATATACAGCTATAAGGAGATCAGCTCCCCAGTGTCATAGAGCTACTCAGTAGATATACAATATACTGTGATTTAGGAACAAGGTCACTGGCTTTGCTTTGAGTAGGAAAATATTGAGGTGAGCAATCTCATGGCCTGAGAGTCAGACCACGCTGGGCTGAAAAGTAGCCTTGCTTCCCATTTCCAAGTTGATAATTTTTTTCTGTCTAATAAGTCTCATGAGCTGTTTGTGCAGGGACAATGGGATTCAAAACAGCCAAGTTAGATCAGGAGTGTGTGACTGCTTCCCTGTGCCAAGTATCACATGTCTTTTGGGTTAAGGACAGTACTTTTTCAAGCTGGTCTCCTAGGTGGTTGTGGAGTTTCAGTTTCTGTTACAGGATGATGAAGACATCTGTAACTCCCTAGCAGAACGGATATTACTGGGTGTTCTTTTTACTCCTACCTTAAACCGCCTGTCGTATTTGGTGACAGTGTCTGCAAAATCAATCTTCTCCCGTTTGCCCACAAACTGGCGCAGCTCCGGATGGTCTTCCATGCCTATGTAATCTCCCATAAAATTCCTGTTAATGCTGTTTCGTCTTCTCTCCTTTTTGTTCAACAATAGATCGGAAGCTTAAATAACAAAAATAAGAAGCAATTTGTAGTATTTTCTGCACAATTTTCTAAACTCGTGCTCTGAAATTGCTAACAGTTTCAGGCAGAAATTGAAGGAGAAGTGATAATCAAATTTGTTTATAATATGAAGAAAATAGTGGGGAAACTCCTAATCCTTTACATAAGGACCAATGGATTGTGTATGTGTGTTTTTTTTTTTTTTTTTTTTAAATTCATTCCTACTGAAATACGCTGGTAGCAGACTCGGCAGTCCTGATGCATCAGCAGCTCTTTGGGAACTGTGGAAATTCTGACTCAGTATTTGCTGCTGGCAATTAAAGGTTAACTCTTCCTAACCTGGAATGTTAATTTATATTTCAAAAAACTAAGCTGTAAAATAGGTGTTCCACCATTTTCCAGGAAAGTAATCAGGCATTACAATTCTTGTATTGGTTGGTTATCAGCCCCAGGCCACTGAGCTCCTGTACAGCAGTGGGCAGTGCCAATTTTAATTTCTCCTCAAATCCCTGATTTCTCTCCTGTTTTAGCTTTGTTTTGAGTGAAGTACCAAGAAATTCATGCATGCAGAGCAGGCAACCTCAGCAGGGGCACCTCAGGGCCAAACAGTCTGCAGTCATTCCCAATCCCTCATCAGTGCAATAGGTTGCTCTATAGGGAGGGAGTCTTTTCCTTCATCTCTTGTAGCACTCTGTTTCTGGAATCATATGTGAAGGATCTGTCATTGAAAATTAGCACCTACCTTCTTCTCTCATTTGTACATATTTTTTCCTGGCCGCATACTTTCTCCATGCCTTCTGGATGGCCCGGGCATACCCATCATATTTCCTTTCCCTCATCTCTTCCAACAAAAATAGCTGCACAAAGAAAACAGGACAGTGGATCAAGCCTTTTACAAGAAAGGAAAGCTGGGGGAAAGGCCGTATTTTACTTTCAGCTTCCTGGTGTAAATCAAACTAGACCTCAGCTGTTGCTTCTACTGCAACCAAGGGGTCCAAGAATGTTAGAGAAACACATTTGGGAGAGATCTCTGAAGCCATGACTTGTCCTGGCTTATTCTGGTCTACCCACCAACCTTGACACCACATTTTGAAGGCAGAAGATGATGGGTTCTCCCCGAACTGCTGTTCCTCAGGGTTCACCAGTGGGCATCCATCCGGTCTCCAGCTCCAACTCACCATGTTCTCAAAGATTCCCATTTCTGTCAGAACCTTTGTGTGTTAAGGGGATCAGTGCCATGTGTAGCAGAACACTGACATCATATGCCCCTTCCTTCCTCGTCTGAATTTGCTGCTGGTGTGTCCATTCACTCCATTCTTCTCCAGCAGTTAAGCTTGCAGGCTAGCCACCATCTTTACAAGTCTGATGTTACATTTTGTTATTATACAATATATGAATCTAAACTGTTAGGGGAATTCAAAAAGAAATGCCGATTTTTATTAGAAGTGAAGTTGACGGGTATCCCTTAGTTTCTGAGAACTTGCCAGGTCCGCTGAAGCTTAATGCACTAGAACAACTCTGTAATTACTGTAGGATATAGTATATTTCACTTTAGCCTTTTACATACAGCAACTTTGCTTAAAGGGAATTTCTTGTTTTTTTTAGTAGTGCAAGCACTTGGCTAGCAATTATGGCATTACCTCAGAGTCTGCTGACTTGAGTGCTGTTTATCAGTTCCCTCTACTGTGTGTGTTAAATATTCTTAAGCATTTCACTTCTATCTTTCAAGAGACAAAATTAATTAAAACAAGTGAATTAAGAAGTGGACTTGGGCATTGCGATCCCTTGTTCAGTTAGCTGTTTTAAACCATGCAAATCTAGAAAGCGTTGCTCACAGATCTTAAAAGGAAACTAGATCTAGTGCAAACCATTTCCACAAGACCTCACTTGCTCTCGTGAAAAGTTATTTATTCAGGTGTTTGATGGAAATGTAAATAATAAAGCCTCCTGTCTGCCACCCTTACTCCACAGTTAGCTGGCAGCTTATAAAAATCCCTTCATAAACACACAAGCACTAGATGGGATTTCAACATGCAGCCATTGTGCAAAAAAAGAGCCCTCTGCTTCACCGAGGGCCATAATCAGGCCCTTAATCAGAGCAATTCAGGTTACAGCAACAATGCTAATGTCTCTCGTGAACGTGTGCCACTTATTTTCCTAATAGTAATGCTAAATGCAAAACCTCAACACAGAAGGTCGTCAGAATGATGCTTAAGGGAGCCAATAAAAACATCAAAACTTAGGTCAATAAAGTTATAAAATACAAATACTGGAGAAATTTCTACAAACATGTATTTATTACACAGCCTTCTCTAACACTCCCTCTGAGCCAGTCAAATCTATTTTTTTTATCCTATTGGTGGTAACAGGTGCTCTTTTTTACTGAGGGGGGGAAAAAAATCTTACTTTACCATCTAAAGGTTCATTTTCCTCAAAAGTAACAGGGTCCTGGCCCAATAATACATTACTAACAATGTGAGAGCTACTTGTCTTTTTTACTCACAAAGTAAACTTTAGAATATACAATTTGTAGTACTAAAATTTGTTTTTGAACTTAAAGTCTCAAAATAATTTTAGTCTTCTCAAGAATTAACTTCATGGCTTTTCAAAAAAATACATTTTGACAGAGTGTAATAGTGATTGAAAACATGTATTTAATTTACATTGAAATGTAAGTTCCACAACAAATTTTCTCTTTTCAGTCAGTGCCAGGTTGTCTGAAATGTGAGAACTGCCCTCTAGTAAAACTCACAGAAATGCTATTAAGTAGCATTTAAAGGCAACTAAGACAGTATTACACAAATGCACTAGAATGGGAAGACCCAGACCACTGCTGCAAGGATTGCCATAATGAGTGCTGCTGGATTTAATGATAGATGTGATGATAGTGCTTTTCAAATCTCTGATAGTGTTGCAAAATGCAGTATGTTTTTCATATGATGTATAACACATAATTTGCACCCCTTTAGCTGAAAGATACCAAAATTTAGGGTCTTTCTTGGATGGCAAGAATAGAAACTCCTGAATAGGTGACTGCCTTTTACACAAGAAACAACACAGTTTGGAGTATGACTTAGGGGAGGGATTGTTTCCTCCTGCTCAGCAGAGATCTTCCTCAGTGATTGGGTGCAGCACCCACACTACCTATAGACCAGAAATACGTTTCCACAGAAGAAAATGATAGTGGTAAAAGCATTCTGGTTTTATCGTGATATGTAACTTCAGGAAAAGCACCAAGAAGCCAGCCAACCCTAGCTGCAAGGCGTATGGTGCACAAATGAAGCCTGACTGCCTCTGAAACGATGAGGAATACATGCCTCTGAACACAATATATTTTCCCTTGCCAACTTTCCTGAATAGTATTGTAGGAATTTTGTTTCGAACAGATTTTATGCATTTAGCAGCTGCAGAATACAAACAGCCTTTTGATGGCTCCCTAGTGTTTTCCATGAATGGGAGTTAGTTTCAGTCACCCTCTAAGGTAGTTATCCAATAATGCAAAATGTTTCCTTCTATTTAGGGGTTATTTCTCATCAGTAGCTCTTGTACTGAGAAGACCCATTTTCTTTCTTAAACTAACAGTCACAGATATACTGTCATGCCATGACATTCCTTCATATGACAATTTCTGTTAACTGTCATTAAATGCACGAGAAAGACAAGATGGGATGTGAAGACATTTCATTGTAAAGTGACACATATCCCATCTTGTCTTTCTCGTGCATTTAATGTTCTTTGTGTCAAACAGCGTCACGATAATGCAGGTTATTATGTACCATGCCCATTATGCAAGTGCCTAGAATCCCTGCTGCACCCACAGTGTCAAGGCACTGCCTGCTGAGCAGCCTGACTTGTATTTTGAGATTTCTCCCACCCTAGCAGATCTCGTGCAGAACTTCTGAGTAGGCAGGCCTTTTATTTCAGCAAAACAGTATCACATTTTAAAAACTCACATCCTGCTGTACTTACAGACTCTGGAGCTTTGATGAAGACTTTAGATTTCCCAAGCTGGTATTGGTCAGGATCCATGTTGACCGACTGGAGCAGGTGGAGAACTCCTTGTTTCTCGTCTCCTTTCCAAGAAGGCCAAGTTGCTTTGGTCAGAATGGCATATCTGAACAACCAAAAGAGAAGAGGAGATTAAAACCTGGCATCATGCAACAGCAGCAGAGTATTACCAGCTCTTAATATTAGCCTTAGGGATCTGACCATCTGCCAGGACTTGGAGGAAGTGCAGAGAGGCAGAGGACACAGAATTTAAGGTACTCTTCAGCAAGACTAAACTACTGCAAGAAGGGCAACAGTGTCCAGGATATTCCATTTCCAGATGTTGAGTTATTTTGTGACTGCAGCTAATTACATAAAGCTTTGCTTGCTGTGCCCTCCTAAATTCAGGGCAAGGATATTTACTCCAGTGGTTTATAGTCCTGTGTTAAGTAACTCCATTCTTGGTATTTTACTGATCCCTTCCAATAATGGGGACGGTTTCCCATTAAAGCCCTTCTCTGTCTCCTTTCTGGCTCTTGTAAAGGCCTTTTGTGTTTCTAAGTGAGTGGCCAGCTCATGCTCCTAACACATCAGACAACAGCTGGTCTGCTCTTAGCACTGGCCTCTTCCCAGGACGCCTTTGGCTAGGCCGGCGCAGCAGGAGGGAAGCGGCTGAGATGCTGGTGCTGTCCGCAGCGAGCGCTGGGAAGCGGCATGACACGGAGCAGGGCGGGAGGCAGGGAGTGCCCTGGCAGGGCACGGGCTAGAGAGGCTGCCGTCCTCACGGGGCTCCCCGCGAGCCCTGGAGAGGAGGTGGATGCCAGCGTGCAGCGAGCACTGAGGGCCTGGAGCTGCCCTGGCATAACTGGAGCAAGCAGCTCCTCTAGAAGCAAGGGCCTTTGACAAGGGGAGTGAAGAAAAGCTAAATCATTTGGCAGTTTTTACACACAATCTTTTCGGCGCTCAACTCTTGGCAATTTTCTTTCCTAATGCGTTAAGTGTATTTGAGTTATATGGACTAAATCATGCTTTATTAGTAAAACTATTCAACTAATGAAAAAGGCAATAAACTACAGATTCTGTTTGTTATAATTCCCAAGTTGCTCTTTTTTGGGAAGATTAAGGCAGCTCCTAAGTATTAATGAAAATGTTCTCAAAAACACACAGGGAGTTGTTAGAATTCAGAGGATGTTCATTATTCATTTCTGTCATGTCTAAAGTGTTATCCAGCCAAGCAGCAGGAACAGTGTCATGCAATTTAGAGAAGATTATACAAAGAAAAACATCAACTGATTACAAAGAAAGATTGCAATAAGTCTTAATACATACATTATTTGCTGAAACTACTCCAAATATTTCTGAATAGGAAGCACCTGAAAAGAGTATACGACTAACCTGTGAGCAATCCAACGGGATTCAAAAGCATCTGTTATTTTGCTAACTCTTAGTTATCAAATGTTTAGGTAGTGTGCATAATGGTGTAACAAAGCATCTCTTATACCATCTTAAATATTTAAGTACATCAGATGTAACCTATGTTATAGATAAATTTCTGTATTTATGTACTTTATCACAGATAGACAGATGCAGAAGAGTATAAGGGGTTATAAATTAAAGCAACTCACACCTTATTTAATTAACCTCTTTGTCAAGATCATCATAAGACATTCAGCAGTATAATTGTATAGGCAGGTGTAAGCAAGTCTAAATTGAAAAGAGCTGAAGTTAGAGACCACCAAGACTGGGATAGCTTCCACACAACAGAATTTTACACTATGCTTCAGCATGCTGCAAATTCTACCTTACCTCTTCCAAGAGGAGGAAATAAATTAAGATATGACCTTTAAACCTCTAAAATAAAGGTCTTGGGTAAAAAAAAAAAAGACTTGAAAATCTCCCTTTTTTATGAATTCAAGTTAATTCTATACATCTTACTGAGTAACTGAGAAGTCTGAAGGGCAGAAGAAACAGATTATTCTACAACACCCAAGAGTTAAGCCTTCCACAATCCTTGAACTAGATATTCTATAATGTGTGAATTCACTGCCATTTAGAAATAGCACTTCCCTTGGGTGCATACTTAATGCATGCACAATAAATGCTGTCCTCTAAACTGGTCATGTCAATATTCATGTATCTTGTTTTTTCAAGGTTACATGTGATTTGAGTTTGCACGGGGGATTTTTGGCACAATAAGTTTGTTCTCAAAATGCTAGAAAAAATACAACTCATTACTGCAAAACAAAAAAGTTATCTGTTAAACTCACAGTAAGTTAAGCCTAAATACAGGAATATGGAGTTTGGCTTTTGGATTGGCTATCCTTTAAAACACAGGCCTTTTCAGTGACTGGCTTTTTGCATGCAAATGTACATTTCAGACATAAACGTCTATTGAGAATGTAAATGCCCACTCCTTGGAGCTGCCAAGGAACTCCCAAGGAAAACAAGTGTCCAAGCATGCATTTCCTGCCCATCCATGCCGCAGCCCACTGCTACTCACACTGACTCACGGTGTCAGAACAGAGCTTGATCTGGCTGCTAGAGAGCTGCAAATGGAAAGGTTGCAGCAAGAGTTTTACTTGTAACAAAATGCTAATTTTAACAAGATTGATGCAAGACAAATATCTAAATTCAGTGGAAAATGATTTCAATGGCCTTGAATCTCTGCATATGAAGAGAAGTATAGAAATATATTCACCTTTCTGAAACAGCACGGGGCTTGCTCTGAGCAGATCGCACAGGGAGCTTCCCAGAGCTGCAGAGCTGTCACGCGTGATCAATGTGCAACAGCTATGGAGCCTAGATTTGATGTTCATTAGTCATTTGTTATTCTGTCTCAGCAATTGCTTTCTAGTAGCGTAATGCAATCTGAAGCACATTTTTGTGAGTGGTTTTGAAGATCATGAACTAAAAAATAGGATTGGGAGTTGTTCCATATTAGAAAGATTAGTTTCATACCTGAAAATATTTTAGGTCTATTACTAGATGATTAGAACACTCTCACGTAAAGACTTTTACTGGCTTTGTTCTTTCTGCCCAATGAATCACACTCTATTCTTTGAAATAACTAATTACTTTTTTGTTTTTAATTCTCAAATTTAACAAAGGCTTCTAACAAAAGCTCATTTGTCATGCAGCATCCCAGTTTTACTACTAGTCAGCTGTATCTCAGTTTTCAAAAACAAAAGTTGAATGTTGTATAAATCTTGAAATTGCTTTCATTTAAGAGCGTTTCAGTAGCAATTGGCAGTAGTTAATCCATCCCAACAGCTGCTCCTAAGACACTGAAAAGAGATTGGGCGTCACAGAGCACTGACTTGTTTTCACTCAGTGAACAGCTGCAGTGGTTTGAGTTCTTACTGCTTCCAGCTGTTTGAACACCAGCATGAGGATATAACATGAGCAATTTAAGCTAATATATTACTCTGCTCACTGGTGTGCTTGGAAGGCAGGCATACTTTTCTCCACCCTTCCTCTGTCACGCTGGAGAGCTGCTGCAATTTAAACAAAGCTTAGCAGCTAGACATTCAGATTCCAATGTACACAGCTCAACTCTAAAGTTCCTCTCTCCTATGTTGAATTCTTTTTACCTTTGAAGAACCCTCTTATAACACTAAAAGAAGTGAGGCCTTAGGCAAATTTACAGAAAAAAATGACAGACTTTCAAAGACAACAAAATCTGTAGAACCTGGATTCCAAATATAGGTAAATAGGAAAATGACAAAGATAAGTAAGAAATGGGAATTACTAAAAACTTGCAGCTTTTTGTTTTTCTCATCATCATGTAAACCACTGTGTTGTAGTATTTCAAAATGAGTATTACCCTACCTCTGCAGAAACTTCTTGAAGACCCGTCTGTAGGCGTAGCCAGCTCTTCTTACTCGAATATTTTCTTTCAGACCTAAATATTCTACTTGATGTTTTACCCTGCAGATACCAACACAGTAAGATTATAGTCTGTCTTATTTAAAGTTCATATGATGTTTAAAGACTACTAAAATTCATGCACAGGTATATGACTACATATTCTTACACATTAACATAGACTGCATGGTAAGATAGACATTCAAGGCAGGCAGGATACATCACTGTAATATTAGGTAGTTAAGTTTAACTTCTTAACTATCCTCTAATTTACATATCACAGAACCACAGAATGGTTGAGGTTGGAAGGGACCTCTAGAGATCATCTAGTCCAGTCCCCTGCTCCATCAGGGACACCCAGAGCACGTGGCACAGGGTCACATCCAGGCGGGATTGGAAGATCTCCAGAGAAAGAGACTCCACAGCCTCTCTGGGCAGCCTGTTCCAGGACTCTGGCACCCTCACAGGAAAGAAGTTCTTCTCATATGGGGATGGGACTTCCTGTGTTCTAATTTGTACCCATCACCCCTTCTGCTGCTGCTGGCCACCACCGAGAAGAGTTTGGCCCCATGAGCAGAGATGAGACCGGCCGCCCCCAGCCTCTGGAATCTCTGAGGAGCGGCTGGAACACAAGGGGATTCATCTCTTCCCCAACTAGCTCCACCCCACACCCTGCTTGCAAACTGCAACAACCATAAATTCCAAAGCAGGAAAAAAGCTAAAGAAATGCCTTCCTTTTGACGTTTCTTTTTCTGTTTTGGGAATTGTGGAACATATTTGACATTCTTTCTTAAATATCCTGCTAGTCTACTTTTTAATGCTTGGGAACTTAATTTCAGTTAACTTCATTAATGATAGATGACTGCTGCTGCTCTTCTTTGCGTTTCCTTAATTTTCTCATCTAAGTTATCATGGGGCTGGAAGACACAAGGATAGTTTACAAATCTAAATTCCAAAACACAGTGTTTGGGGGTTCTGCGGCTGCTTTCAGGTAGGGCGAAGCACAGAAGCTTTTACCTTACTCTCAGAAAGGTGAGAGCTGTCAAGATTTTAGTCCTCTAAGTCCAACGAACATTATTTTAAAAAGAGACTTTCTTTACATATAATCATGGAAATGTAAGGCTGGAAGGAAGCATTTAATCTTAAACCTGTTTTGGTTTTTGTTTCTCTGCTTTTACAAGAAAATATAAAAGTTTTTCAAACCCTGGAACCTCTAGGCTGTTAATTCACTGTTACATCTCTAGCATCTCTAGCTATTTTGAAAGGTTAAATTCACTGTAAAAGCACTGATGGTTGACTTTTTTTTCTTTTTTTTTTTCTTGAGACATTCCTTTTACATGAGTCGCAGGATAAAGGGGTAGAACTTTGGAAATGCCATGTTACAAGTGACAAAAGCCCTCCAGTTATTTTGTATTTAAAGACACCCAGAAGTATTTTATTTCATAAGTGCTCTTCCTAAAGCTCAGTAAAAACCACTGTACATTTTAATCTTATGGTATTCAAGGAATAAAGACATATGTTTTGTGCCTACTCCAAGAATGCCAGTGCAGTAACAGTAGAAAGTTGATGGTCAAAAATACATTTTCCTGTTTATAGCATTCCCTCCTCTTCACATCTGGAATAATGCATTAAAGTAACAGTATTACTCTCTTTTTCTTAGCATCCTGCCAATACTACTGTCCAGCAACAGAGAATTTGAGACAGTATTCTGTTTTTCCTTTTTTTTTTTTTCTCCTTTTCCTGAGAAAAGGCACTCTTGAAAATCTTCCTCCAGGCATCAACCTCAAGCAGGTCAGGGTCTGAGAATTCAGCTAATGCAGCAATTTTGAACACCAGGCCAAGTAGTTGTGCCAGGAGCCGAACAAAAACACATTTCTCAAGGAACGGCCCCATTTTTGAATAACTAAAGTATTATACAAAGTTTAGGCATTAGTCAAGGTCTATCTTAAAGTGCTAAATATCCTGAAATTATTCAATAGCAGTGTGAACCTGGAATGACATGGCTGTTAGGGGCATGAGATAATCAAGTAAAAATTAAAAAAAAAATAATTTTTTTAAAAGTACTTTTTGCTATTATTCAAGAGCAGCATTTTCACAGCCAGGTAACATGCTACCACAGCAGATTATCTATACAAATTACTCCGGTCATTTTTAAGTATTAAAGCATGTGTACGGAACAAAAAATAAGCACAGAAGAAAAAAAAATCCACTAAACCAACATTCAACAAAATGCTGCCCCTGCTCAGTTCTGTCTCATCTTTCTACCATCTCAGAACTTTCTCACCATGAAATCATGAAACAGCAAAATTAAACTGAAGTGCGAGTTGCAATATACTTGCAATGAAATCTTTTTTTCCCCACGAATATCACTGCTATAGAAAATTTGTACTCATTTGAGCTCTCAATATAATGCATCAATAATTATAATTTGGAAATGGAGAGAATGCTAGTATTTTTAAACTGGGATGCGAGTTCACTATCATAAGGACAGCTTTTGTTTGTGTCTGGTTTTGATACTTTAAAATTCTTTGTCACATATCTGTATTTTAGCATCAACAACGGCTGCATTCGCCCAGCACCATCCTCCTGGTGAGGCCAGGAGAACTCTGCCCATTTTAGCCCCAAAGCGGGTTTCCTGACCGCGGGCCTCTTGTCAGCAGGAGCCTTTTGTTTGCTTGTTTCCTCTGTTTCCCAGCAACCCTTTCCACAACCCCAGGCCTGTTTTCCAATATGTAAATGATTGATTTAAAAAGCCACTCAATTATTTATAGCTTTCTGTTTTGTTACAGGTTTTAGGCATGCTTTTTCGAGACTCCATTTTCCTCCTTCGGCCATTTCTGTGAGAAATTCAGTGGTTTTTGGGGATGGCCAGTGAAGAGAGGCTGCATTTAATGTCAAGACCTAAATGACATTTTCCGGGCACACTCGGCTCCTGAAAATGCTCTCTGCATCTGCATGTAATGGCGGGGGGGGGGGTCTGGGGGTG